CCCGGTTTCTTGTTTTTTTACCTCAACTTTGTAGAAAAATATAAAATCGTGGTGAGTTGCCACTCATACAATTTTGAGTGGCATCTACGCTGACTCTGCTTTTCCCTGACAATTCAAAAGAGCGAGGTGTTAGGGACACCTAACGGGTTGTAGCTGATGGGTAAAGCCAGTGGCCCTAATGAGGACAAGCCGAAAGGCCACTCTTGGGACTCTCCCTGGGTCACAATGAAAGGTAGAAACAGGAAAAGCAGAGGGGCAATGTTAGGCTGCAGCCCTTGGAAGGTAATAAATGGAAAGCACTAGAAAAAGCAAATTCCAAGCATTAGCTCAGATGCCAAAGAATTCTAAAAAACTATTCTTGGCAGCATGACTTGATCTAGTTCCCACTTACACAACAGACTTAGCTTTTCTCTTTCAGCAAGAAATATTTATTAGAACACTGTTCTTAATGCTTGCTTTACACTTGACTAGGTGAAAAATCTTTTCCCAACAATTTTAATTGATTAATCACACTTTTGTTCAACTGTAATTTCCACTTTTTTATTAGAAAACTTATTTTGCTTTTGGTACACCAACCATATATACAGTCATTGACTTTGGCTTCTGCAATTTATTTTCTTCAGAAAACTAATACTGTATCTTTTTTTTTTTTTTTTAGGAGAGAGAGAGAGAGAGAGACAGCGTGAGCAGGGGAGGGTCAGAGAGAGAGGGAGTCACAGACTGAAACAGGCTCCAGGCTCTGAGCTGGCAGTCAGCACAGAGCCCGACGCGGGGCCCGAACCCACGAACCGCGAGATCATGACCTAAGCGAAAGTCGGACGCTCAACCGACTAAGCCACCCAGGCACCCCATGTATCTTATCTCTGTGATATTGATTATTTTAAAGTTCATTGAAATTAATGTTTCCAGAAAACCATGCCACACCTATTCCTTTTAAATAGAATCCTATGTTTTATGTGTAACTGTGTATGAAATATTGGAAAGATCACCTATCACTACTGACCACCTTGTGAATTCAAATATCCAAAATATAATAGAATAGGAGTCAATCAAGTCAAGGTTATTTTATTTAAACAAAATATTCAGTAATACAAAGAGCACAGTCTCCTGCTTAATCATATTAACTAGACAAGCATCTGAGTATAATTCTGCATATAGCAGTTCTCTTAATATTCATATGTCATATTCACTCAATTAAATGTAAGAAAGTTACCCTAGATAAACAAAATATGCTTTGACTTAGTACTTTTTCAATGTTTATTTATTATTTTTGAGGGAGAGAGAGAAAGAGAGATGGAGAGAGAACACAGGCAGAGGAGGGGCAGAGAGAGAAAGAGACACAGAATCTGATGCAGTCTCAGGCTCTGAGCTGTCAAGGCAGAGCCTAACCCAGGAATTGAACCCAGGACCTGTGAAATCATGACCTGAGCCAAAGACATATGCTTAACTGACTGATCCACCCAGGAGCCCCTTGACTTATTACTTTTAAATATTGACATTTTAAAAATGATTCCTTAAAAAAGGAAACCAATAAAATCAGAAAAAAAATTAAGTCCATTTTTCTCATTCGTTCTAAATTACTGTGCTCTTTCTCTTTATAATTTTTTTAATGTTTATTTATTTTTGAGAAAAAGACAGAGCAGGAACAGGGGAGAGGCAGAGAGACAGAGAGAGAGACAGAATCTGAAGCAGGCTCCAGGCTCTGAGCTGTCAGCATAGAGCCCAATGAGGGGCTCCCGAATTGAGAGATCATGACCTGAGCTGAAGTCGGGTGCCTAAGTAATTGAGCCACCCAGGAGCCCCTATTGTACCATTTCTATCCAGATGATGTGACTACACATAGAAGGTAATCATAAATTTTGAAAATATGCCAAACCTGATTTTATTTCTTTCTGTGTGTGATATGTTTCATAGTTACCTTATGTTCAATTTTCTGTAGGTGACTTCTTTTGTCTCAACAAACTTAAGTCTTATTGTTCCAAGTTCAAAATATCTTCTTGATAATTCTGGGTATAAAAACTCTTGTTAGAGAAATATGTTCTCATAATATTTGTGTTAAATTGACTGTGTATGTGTATCTTTTTATTCCTGAGTCTGAACTGGGTCAATAAATTTGAGGTTTGCTGCGCAATGGGATCAAGACATAATTCCATAATATATTAATTAAATTAAATTAGAGTATATATAAAATATGGTTCAATAAGAAATATTTTCTTTAGATTTAGGATATGTGTCTAATATGCGTTATTTGTGATAGGATTATGTATTCAAATTTTATAATATTTATCCCTGATCAAATTCAATCATAATGAACTTATATTTTCTTCTGTTTTTTAAAAAGATTTGATTAGATTAGATTTGAAGAAAAAGTGATTGGATTTGATCAATCACTGTCCTTTTTAAAATGTTTTCTTTTTTTTTTTAATGTTTTATTTATTTCTAGGAGAGAGAGAGAGAGAGACAGCGTGAGCAGGGGAGGGTCAGAGAGAGAGAGAGATACAGACTCTGAAATAGGCTCCAGGCTCTGAGCTGGCAGTCAGCACAGAGCCCGACGTGGGGCTCGAACCCACGAACCTCAAGATCATGACCTAAACAAAAGTCGGACGCTTAACCGACTAAGCCACCCAGGCGCCCCTAAAATGTTTTCTCTCTGATGCTTTAGGATTTTTATCCAAAGTTATTTCCTAACCTTTCCCCTATTGCTGTAAGACTGATTTTGTTCTGTAATAGAACAGGTTTTTAAAAAATCTCACTGAAGGTAAGATTAGTCTCTGGCACAAAAGTGAATGTATAACAAATTTCTAGCCAATGACACAGAAATGGAAGTCTTCTGGGACACCTCTGGGACAGTTTTGTTTTGTTTTTTCTTTAATAAAAAAGACATCTTGATTAGATGCAGCTGTCTTGTTATAACAAAGAGAAGGCCAGGAGTGAACATGTTAACCCAGCAATCACCCACCTTGAGACTTCCTAATAAGCGAACAATCAACACCCTATGATTTAAGCCACTGTCACATAAGCCTATGATCAATTATAAAAAGCAACTCTCCTAGACAAATAGATTCATAGATGTAGCTTGATCTCATCTACAAATAGCTGTAGCTTCAACTCTGACAGTTTGTACAATTTAAAAAGAGATCATGAAAAACACTGAGAGAGAATGAAATAGGTGCTTTTCCAACCAGAGAGAGAGTTCTGTGAAAAATAAATATGCCATAAGGGTGCAATGAATATTAGGTGCCTTTATCATGATATCTGATTTTCATTCTGTGATAATCGTAGCCTAGGGCAATTTCATTGGCTGTCCGGTGAGAGTTGGGAAGTCAGTATGGTTTGGCTGAAGGAAGGTGGAATGAAAGCCAAGACATCAGAAATATGATACAGGTTCTAATCTGATTATTCAGGATTAACTAATGGCCTTTAAGCAGCATTACAAACACACGACAGTTATATTAGCAAACACAAAAGATATATTCTGCAAGTGCATTAAAATAAACTTTATATTCAAATTAGCATTTCCTTGTTCAGATGAATTTTAAGTATTAAATCACATATAGTCAGGATCAACAATGAGAAAGCCATTCTTTGCTTTTAAATTGGGGCTACATTAAATTTCAGGCCATTGAGTCTGGCAGAGCAGAAACTCATATACAAAGAGTAAAAGCTGAGCAGAAAACCCAAATTGCATGAGGACATTCATGTTCATGGTTAACTTTATTCAGGCAGACCCTTTGTGTAAACAACAACCAATAAGGAAAGATTCAGAACGTCCTTTGCCCTCTTGTTGAAATTCATCAGCCATTCCCCTGTGACCGAATGGGTGATCCTAGACCTTGAAGAAAATATCTCTGTCTCTCTTCACCTGTGATATTCATGAACTTTTTTCTTTTAATCCCTTTCATATTTTTAAAGCAATAATTTTGCCTTTCTATCCGTTATGCCTGCCACATGCAGTACTTAATTGATGATGGATGCTTAATAAATCTTTCCTGATATATCAACATATTCCCAACTTCATTAGAAAAAAAAATACAAATAAAAAATGAGATACCATTCTTTAATCTATCAAAATAACATTTTTTTTAAAAGATGCTGCTTGGTATTGGAGAGATATAATGAAATTGGTCATTTTTATCCATTGCTGGAAGGGAAATAAATTGGCAGAGACATATAGTAGTTATACATGTTTCCTCATCTGTAAAATATGACAATGAGTACTTAATTCACAGATAGGGATTAAATGAAATAATACAAAGAAGTATACAGTACAATAGTGGGGACATGGTGACAAGTCCTGGTAGCTTACCAAAAAAAGGGGTAAAAGACAAATAAAAAATAATTGGATACCTGTTTATATTTCTTATAGATTTTGTGTTGCCTTCTTGACCATACATTCCATAAGGCTGGATGCCATATTCATTATATTTACTTTTGCAGCCTGTCACATTATGCAGTGCCCGCCATGCACAATACAACAAATATTACTATTTGTTAAATCCATACAGTTTATTTAGCTCCCTTAACTACTGAAGAGAAATTTCACATGCAAAAGTGTACTGGCTATCAGTGAAGAAATATTACATTTACATTCAATGAATGATCATGTATATGAAGGAGTGTGATATAGGAGGCAAGCACAGGCTCTGATTTTGGGAAAAATCCATTTGAGCTCCAACTTGCTATCTGCCATTGACAAGTTATTCCACTTTCGTAAACTTCCATTTATATTTATGTGTCTCTGCAGTGAAAAATTTCCACCTTAGGGAGTTTCTGTTGTCTACAATGGGAACATACATATTTAAAGGTGTTGTACACTTTACATGATCACACATTTATAACCATTTCGCCTAAATACACAATCTCAGATTTCTAGAAACCTCATTAAACATTCTAGACAAGCTCCTTACCCAGACTCAACACTGGTAAGATTGTAAGATTCCTGTCACCTCCATTGTGCCCTTTTCTGTCTATCATACTCTTCGTAAGATTCTTTTTCCCTTTTGTGATGACAGAGCCTGGACATTCCATGTTGCCTGTTTTTCACAGGAATGCCATAGTTTATGCCAGGGAGTGAGGAGGAAGAACAGAATAGGAAGAAGCCAATGAAAGAGACAGATGCGTCTGGTGGAGGGTTTGGTTGACCCTCGGAGAGTTGGAAGTCTCCCTCTTCTCATTACAGCAAGCAGTCAGATACCGCCCGTTTCATTTGTGTCCAATCTGTCAGCAAAACAAGTGTTTGTACTTAGGAAAGCTTTTGTGTAGTTGTGTTTGTGGCTTTAAAGTAAAATTCAAAAGAAATAGAGAGGAAGCAATACAGGGGAAACTTTCTGGCGGTAATTTGCCCTCAAAGTTCCTATGTATCAGAGTATATATGAATAAGTTTAACATCAAGGATTATGAGTTACTTAATGTCATTAAATGTTATTTACTACGATTATGATCATTAAATGTTATTATCCTTAATATTATCCTATAGTCTGTGTATAAGAGTGTTTATAAATGTAGCAAAGTGTGATCCATGCTCTCATGGATTCTGGTGTTTACATAACACCTTTTACCTAATGTTCAAATGTGTTACCTGCTTAATCCTCGCAATTTCACTGGGGAGTCAGGATGTGAAGATGGAAAATTTAAGCAAATAATAATCTCAAATCATTATTGAGCACTTCCTACATGTCAGACACTATAATATGTGGTTTACATTTACTAATCTATTGAGTTGTCATAGCAACCTTGTGAAGTAGAACTATTATCCCATTTTAGAGATAAGAAAACAGAGGCTAGGAGAATTTGAGTTATGGTCCAACACAACCATCATGATGTCAACTCAACAGCTTGGCTCAGGAAAATAAAATTATTTACTAAATGTAAGTTAATGATCATGTTTAATCTAGAGATAAACATGTTAGTTTTTATTCAGCAGATCTCTTTATCCAGATTGCAGGCAGACATGATATGATTTTTCAAAGGTACTTTTTCTAAGCAGGAAACCCAAGATCCAATATGAGGAGCGTGAAGTGTAATGACTTCATTCCATGGAAGAAAGAACAGAAGCCAGAATTGTCAGTCTCTCTTGTATTATTCCTACAGCCTTTTGTGGTTTCCTGTGGCACTTCTGTGGGCTGCATTATTAAGTATAAGTTGACTCTTCTGATTTTATGTCTCCATGGAGTTTTTAACGTCCCTTATTTTCTGACATTTTTTAATAAATAAGGTAATTTGAATTCAGTATTGTGGTGATTGTTTATAGAATTTAGTTTGGCTATAGATAATGGAAATGTCTTTCATAAAAAGTATCATTTTATTAAGCTGAAGGTGGGCTTTATTCCCTTGATAACTTTTTGACATTGAGACTGCCAAAAGAAGATGGATTTGTATTTTAAATGCTTTGAAGTTGGGACAAGTTAAATGAGGGAAATTTCAAATGTCGCACTGAGGCACTGCAAATTCTTTCATTGCCTGAAGCAGATAAAGAAAAAAAAAAGTCTGACTCATTTGCGTTCTTCTTTTAAAGCTGTTTTAAAATTGTAATGATGAAGTGTTTATATATGTTCAAGCTTCAAGGCTTAGTGGCACAATTCACTGAAAACCAAAAACATTAATGCTGATTGGTGATACCAACATTTTCATTGGGTTTTAGCTTTTCCAATAATGCTAAAACTTGGATATTTTAGAAGGTGTCCCTGGAAGGATATTTTATTTGGCAGAATCATCCCTAGGGAGGTGTGCATATTAAAAAAAAATCTTGTTTCTCATATTTCTCTCCCAACATTTTATGCAGGTAAAATCAGATAAAAAGCAACATTCATAAAACACTTGAATAAAGAAAAACATCATAAGATATAGCCTGAAGGAGGATATAAAGAAAAGGATAGGGCCATTTCTTCCTTATTTCCATTTCTAGACCAGGTAATATCCAACTTTTTTTGACTCCAACCCACAATAAGAAATACATATTACATTGTGATTTGGCACACATGCTCAAACGCACTACTGAAATAAAAGTTTCATGATGTATTACATGCGATGCACTCTATTTGCTCTTCTTTTGCTGCTATATTCACCACATTTCATTTTATTTGAAACAAAATACTGGCCATTACTGTTAATTGAACTTCAGAATCCACTACTGAAATTTCTGTTTCAAAAGTTGTGAAGAGAAAGTGCACTTCCTGTTGCTCTCAATGCCCAGCCTCTGTCATTGCTAACCATCTTTCTGGCTGAGAAAGCCAGAACTCCAATCCTAGATCATTCAACAATTGTATTCTCAGATGATCTATTTTATAAAACACTTAACATTTCTGTGAAGTTAAAAACATAAATTGTGCCATGACCTGATTTTAATGGAAACAAGTTTGTTATGCCCTTTCATGTGCATTTAAATTGAACACATTTTAAACATTTAAAACAAGGAACTGATTCAGGTATTCTTTGCTGAGAAACACAACTATTTCTAGGCAGTAAAAAGGCATGTCAAGCTCTGTTTGTTGAGGGCACAAATTATTTTTAAAGGGGAAGGTAATTTCATTTTTTTTGAAAATAGACTTGCTACAGATTTGCCTATGAATGTAGCACTTGTTACATTTATTAAGGAAAGGGATTGAACTGTTATCCCTCACTACTACCTTCTCATTTCTTAAGAAATCACTTCTTTCCTAAAGATCAGCTACAATGTTCTGTGCAGATCTGTTACCTGCAACTAAATGCAGCCTGATGCTGATCTGTCCTCTGCCTGAATTCTCAAATGTCTTAGTTCTACCGTGGACCCCTTCCCACCACACACACACACACACACACACACACACACACACACACACGTGCACTCACTCACTTGTTCACTCACTTCCCTTTCCAGATGCTACTGTGATCTGTAGTCAGCCTGGTTCAACAGCTCTCTCTCTCTCTCTCTCTCTCTTTCTCTCATTTTGGTCTCTATCATCTATCTCTAACTCATGGAACTGCCTTTTATTCTTAGAATTTGCCATTTGCATCTGGCTTTATCCTTCCCATTATATTTTCATTATATTTCACAGAGGGCTGTAGATCTGAGTTTTTGTCTCTTGACCTCTGTCTGGCTGAGTTATAAGGTGTGCAGCTTGCTGCAGCCATTTCCTTCCTTACTCATTTGTATATTTCCCTGTATTTTAAAAATGTACCCAGACAAGTATTGACTTGGCTTATGTGCCATCTCACTTTCTCCCTTATGTCTTCTCCCATTTGCATTTCCTCTTTATGAACTGTCCACTACCCATCTTACTCTTTGGCAACTGGCCTAAAGTAAGTTTCCAGAAAATGAATCACAATTTTCCTTTGAGTTATATTTAGTATAAAGACATATTCCTGTGGAGAAAATCTAAACTGAAGAACATGGTTCATCATCTTCTCCATTATATACTGGGAAATATTGTTTACAGTTGTTTCCGTCAAAGAGATAGTTTTATTTTTTTAATTTTTTTAAGTTTATTTATTTATTTTGAGAGAGAGAGAACGTTTAGGCGGGGTAAGGGGAGAGAGAGAGAGAGAGAATTCCAAGCAGACTCTGCACTGTCAGCGCAGAGCCTGATGTGGGGCTCAAACTCACGAACCATGAGATCATGATATGATCTGAAATCAAGAGTGGGATGCTTAGGGCACCTGGGCGGCTCAGTAGGTTAAGTGTCTGACTTCAGCTCAGATTATGATCTCATGGCTTGTGAGTCAAGCCCCATGTTAGGCTCTGTGCCAACACATCAGAGCCTAGAGCCTGCTTCAAACTCTGTATCTCCCTCTCTCTCTGCCCCTTGTTTGCACTCTGTCTCTCTCTCACAAAAATAAATAAACATAAAAAATTAAAATAATAATAAAGAGTAGGATGCTTAACTGACTGAGCCACCCAGGTGCTCCAAGAAGATATTTTTCTAAATCTATACTCTGATCTCTCAGGCATGTCAGACTCCATCCTCTTGGTTGGTGTTTCCAGTGTTGTGGGAAACAAATCTTGCCTTGAAGTGATACGTTCTTTTTTTTTTTTTTTTTTAATGTTTATTTATTTTTGAGAGAGAGCATGAGTGAGAGGGGCAGAGAGACAGGGAGACACAGAATGTGAAGCAGGCTCCAGGCTAACCTGGCAGCACAAAGCCCCAAAGCGGGGCTGGAACTCATGAACCACAAGATCATGACCTGAGCCTAAGTCAGACGCTTAACAGACTGAGCCATGCAGACACCCTGAGGTGATCCATTCTAACACAAATTTTTATTGATACTGGACAAGTCTGTTAATCTTAAATATTTGAATAATAATACAAAAGTTATACAAACTACAGTTCTATCAATACATAGGATTTACTTAAAATAAGTAGTATGCATGCTGAGAACTTCCAATGTATATCAATCTTGTTCACTACTCACTTTGTAGTACCCAGGGTAAAGCCTGCACTTATAAGTTTCTTAACTTCTTTAATATATTTGTAAAATTTTAAAATGAATAAATCTTCATGTCCTCTACTCAAATGCTAAAAGTACAATAGACTTAAAGAGAATTTTGTCAGTGTAGGTAGGGAAATTCATAATCTTCTTTTGCACATTAAACTGTCATGCTCTCGAGAAAAAAAAGCAAGAAAATAATTCAGCAGAATAATGTAATATTTGCTAAGTAAGGCTAAAGCTCCCCTTGTTTCAGTTTATTTTTCCTTAGAGTTTTTAAGTGTTACAAAAGATACTGATATTAATTGTTCTAAAGCGAAGCTTCATTTTTCTTCCAGATATGCAGGATGCTTTCATGAAGGCAAATTGGAACATTTGAAAATATTTATGTTAATCAGTAACTGCTTTAGTGCACATTCAGCCCTGTCAGCCTCTCTGATTTAGGCGTCTGCTGGTAAGTGGGAAATGGACCCACGTGCTCCATCTCAACCCTCCCTCTCTACTATTTTGAAATACTTTGTGTACCGGATGGTATCTATATCCGTGGGGTATATTACAGACATTCTCTTTCCCGCCTTTGAAGAATTGGGCCCACCATTCCTTTTTCTGTCTGCCTTCTCCCATCAAGGGTCACTCAGGTAGAGTAACAATCACAGTGTGAGAATTAACGCAGGGAGAATAGTCTGTAAGAGTGTGAAGCAATGAGCTCATGGCTCCAAGGACAGGCGAGGTCCTTCCGGTTGAGTACTCTGCCGGCTCCCCTGAGAATCTTCTCTCAGCATCTCCATTCTTAGTGCCATTCCGCCAGACGCTGGGTCAGGTAGCATCTCTGCAGGTTTGAAGCCACATTCTTTGGAAACAGCACTCGGGTTGAATGTATTTTCTTCGGTGTCGGCCTGCAAGTGGCCTGAGCATGCACTCATGACAGAGAATCTCATGGAAACGCTTGGGAGGAAAGGAATTTGTAAGGCTGTTTCCACTGAGACACTCTGCGGGCAAACTTCTGGACGAACTCCAGTCATTACGCATTTGGAAAGGGTTTCACACAAAGGTATTTTGTGCATGAATGGTCTAGAGGAATAGGTTTCTGGACCAACTGGTGTGTAGCTAATTTTAAAAAGTCAGTTTACCATAACAATTATTTTATGGGCTGCAGAGCAGATCTCATTAAAGAAGGAAGGGAATCGTAAATTAGAGGAGAAGCAAACACATTAATATGCCTAATGCTGCCTCTCTTAACATGAACATTACAAATGGGATTAACAATACAACTTTATTTTCTTTTTCTTTTCTCTTTATTTAAAAAAGAAAAAGGACTGTTCAGTGAAGATTTTCAAGTATGGTGTCTCTCAATTTCTTTGTTTGGTTTCTCAGAAACATTTAAAGAATACCTACTAGTTTGTCCAGAAACTTCTCTGAAGGTATCCTAATTATTTTATCAGTTTACTCAATTTATCAGAGCCTCTTTTGTTTTATGGAAATATTTTGAAAATCCTTATATTAGTATTTTATTTCTCCAGTGGCCACCTACTTTCTTCTGTAATCTGTTTTGGAATTAAAACGAGTTGCTTAAGGCTGTTCTTGATAGCTATTAGAGAAAATAAAATATGTATGCCCCATTATGTCTTTTGCTGAAAAAAGCTCAATATTTTCAGTCTCATTTATCTGATTTATTTAAATATACAGACTTTGGTGCATACTTTCTTGGAGTGAGGTGTTTAAAGCACCCATTTTTCTCTTTTGTTTGTTCCT